TTGGATCTGTGATGATGCTGATGATGCTAGGCAAAATTAATAGTTAAATAGTTAAATCAAATGCAATAGTGTATAAGTAAATAAAATAATTTATATATTTTCAGTTTGCTTCGTCTTTGATTTTTTACTTACCTGGAATAGATGCGTTAGTATTAGATAGTTGACTAGGTGGCGGTATAAAATTTGGTGTGGAAATCGACGACGATGATGTCGTTGTCGTCGATGACGATGTCGTTGTTGTCGATGACGATAAATTTAATAAAGGTTGTCCACGTTGAGAACTGTTAATGCCAAGAGGATTTATCTGTGCACGTTCTGGTAACTCATGCTCCGGTAAAAATGAAATCGCTTCTCCGTTGATAATAAGAGCATTTTGTTTTAAATCAATAATTGCCTTAAAAAACCATAATATATAATCAAATTATTAATTAAATGTATATTTTTATGCAATTCAAAGAATATTTAAATGTTGTCGGACCTGATGCCTTTTCAACATATCTAACCCAAATAGTAAGTCTACATCATGTTCCTAAATTTTAAATAAATCAAATAATAATAATAAATAATTATCCATCCATCCCAATTCAGATTTAAAACAACATTGATATATAAAAACCTCCATAATTGTGCTGAAAAATGCGGGTAAGAATTAAATTTGCATTTATATATATATGTAGTTATATGCACTCATAAGTATTTGATGATTTTGATTTTTATTTTAATCCAAAATTAAAATATTTCCTCATTTTCTCTGTGACATTAGAATCATGAGACTCCTCGATAGGCGATTTTCAGGAGTTGCTAAAGGTGTTGGTAGACATGATGGCAAACCAGATGGAAATGAAGGGGGCGAGTTTACCCCTATTTTTTATAACAAGTATGTGTGGTACTTGTTGAATTTGGGAATTGTTATTATAATTAGGCTGAATTGAATAAATATAATCAATTTGTTTATCTTAGAAATCGACTGAAATTATTGGATTTTGAACATTAGGTGTCTAATTAACAATAATATTACTATTATTAAATTCATGTTAAAATTCCTTTTTTTTTTTTTTTTATTATTAAAAGAAATATTTACTTCAGAAAGCCAACAATGTTCAAAATCCAATAATTTCAGTCGCTTTCTAAGAGAAACAAA